TTTTTTTTTTACTTTTCTCCCAGTTTAAAGGCATTTATCTACACCTTCTATATCTGAGCAGGTTCATGGCAAAGTTGCTGTGAATTAAAATTTCCTGGAGTGTTTTTGGGGATCCCATCTGAGAGCTGATCCCCAGGGATCCATCACTTGTGAGAATCCTTCAGCAGCATTTCCACTTTCCCAATCTCCCTAAAATACTCAGTTCTTCCCTTTTTTCAGCTCCAAATATTGCTGGAAAATGAGCAGAAGGAATCCAGGACTTGAGGGAAGGGGATTTTTCTTTGGCCTTGTTGCTCTGCTTGGTTTAATTTCCCACAGAAACACAAACCATAGAGAGAGAGAGGAGTGTTACTATTGGAATAGAAGGTGCAGAACATCCCTATAAATTCATTTTTAATTGTCCAAGTGTTCCAGATGTGCCTAAATGGATTCTTTGGCATTCCAGGCTCTGGAAAACTTCCCACTGCTGATGTACATTTTGGCAGCTAAAACATTGATCCTTTGCTTGGCCTTTGCTGGAGTCAAAATGTACCAGAGCAAGAAAATTGAGGAGAAACTGAAGAGGGAACGTGAGGAGAAGCTGAAAGCAGAAGCAGAGAAAAAGGATGAGTGAAGAATCCCTCAGGTATGGAATTGATCCCAATTCCTGAGCTTTGAGTGGGATTGATTTGGAATGTGCACTCTAGGCCTGAGCTTGTGGAATATTTGGGATGTTTCAGGGGATTTGCTCACTCATTCTTTGTGGAAGGATATTTTAGCACGATATTCCCTGTGTGGTTTTTATCTCCGTGGATTTTTTGATGCCTGATGTACAAAGAGGGGGATAAATTAGGAATAAGTGCAGGGGAGCAGCCAGGCAGGATGCTACAATCAGAACTCTGGGAATTAAGTCACAAAATAAAAGAAAGAAAAGAACCAACCTTTCCAGATGAGTGAAATTTTCCAATTATTATTGGAAAGGGCAAATTCCACACCTGGAATTCCCAAAGGGACAGGTTATGCCATGGAACATCCACCATGTAGAATTCCCTGAGAAAAATGCACGTTTTTCTGCTTGAAAGAGCAAAATGAACTTCACTAAATTCCCTAAATTTGGGGTTTTCATTTTGAAATTCCTGAATTCCTCCCCTCTCTTTCCAAAGTTGAAGCAATCTCTGCTTTCTTGGATCAAATCCATGAGCAGAATGAGTCCTGCCTGGTGCTTGGATTCTATTCCCTGCCTTGCTTGTCATTTTTGAAGCAATTTTCTTCACTTCTCCCTGTTCTGCAGCAAATTGGGAATTCTATTCCTGCCTGCCCTTTGGAAGCTCAGTGGGAGTTTGATGTCATGTTGCTCTTTATTGAAATAAAATCTTATTTCCCTTTCTGAGGTCATCCCCTCCTATCTAAAGACACTTTTCAGTTCTTAAAATCTTTCCTAGATTTTATTTCCACCCTTTTTTTTTTAGTCCCTTTATTCCCAAGGATTTGGAATTGTGCCTAGAAATGAGGCCCTGGGAATAACCATGGGAACAAAGTTTTTTCTATTTACACAGGGAAAAAAAAAAAAACAACAAAACCAAAAGGGTTTTTCAGTCTCCTGTTTCCAGCAGATTTAGGACTTGGCTTTGGGGTAGATTTTGGCCACTTCCCTGGAAAAGAAAAGGTTGGGCAAAACTTGGAGCAAGCTGGGATAGTGGAAGGTGTCCCTGCCTAAGGATGGGATGAGCTTTAAGATCTCTCTAAACCAATCTGGAATTCTGGAATTCTGTGCAGTTTATCCCAGGGAATTCTGCTTGGCAAAACCTTCACAGCACCAGGGATTTCTGCAACCAAACCTCAGTGGCCAGCAGGTGAAGGAGTGATGTTAAAACCTCTCTGATCTCACAGAAATTCCCTTCCCAATCCCCAGAGCTGCCCAGCAGAGTCCCTGGGATGGAGAGGGAGGAATTCCCCCATGGAATTGGGAGCAGCTCCAAAGGTGTCCCTGTGCTCTCCCTGCTGTTCTCACTGCTCTCTGTCCCCACCCTGCAGGTTCCTGACATTTGGGTTCATTTCCCAGGAGGATGAAACCTTCCTGCAAAAGAAGGATGTGTCACCTCAGAGGAGTGACACTTAAATGATCTCCGTTTTTGTATGTACAGCAAAGCACCTGAGCCCCTCTATTTATGCAATAAAATAAAAGCTTTTGTTAAAAAAAATCAACTTGGCTGATGTTTCCTCAAAGGGTTGGAGCTGCAGGGGAGGCACTTGGGAAAAAGATCAGCTGCAAGGAGGTGGCTGGGATGGAAAAGGAAAACAGTCAGGAGGGAAAAATTGAGGAGAAAAATGTTCTGGATCCATCCTGAGAGGATCCAAAATTCGTGGAGAGGCAGAAAGAAGTGGAGAGGGCTCAGGGCAGCTTCTGCAGCTGCTTCCTGCAAGGGTCAGGCTGTGGGAGAGGAGATTTTCCAGGCACTTTGTGCAGCCAGGACTTCCTTGGATCCATGGAAATCACGGTGTCACCTCAAGGAAGGAGATTTATCCCAAGAATTCTCTTTGGTTCCATTTTCTGCTCAGCCTGGGGGCTCAGCTTTTCCTGCCTGTGCAGAGGCACCAAATCCTGGAGGAGAATTTGGGCATGGAATCCTGGGATGGTTTAGGTTGGGAAGAGAATTAAAATCATCCAGTGCCAGCCCTGCCATGGCAGGGACACCTCCCACTGTCCCAATGTCCAACCTGGCCTTGGGCACTGCCAGGGATCCAGGGGCTGCTCTGGGAATTCCATCCCAGCCCAGGGAACAATTCCTAATTCCCAAAATCCCATCAAATCCTGCTT